GCGGCATAAGTCTTGAAACATCAAGGTTTATTGAGCCAGCTTGAGGGTGCACCCAGGAAATATGTGAGTCACAGGAGCATCTGTGGCTGTGTCTTTCCCGAAAAGGTTCACAGGAGGTTTAGTATTTATATATTTTCTTTAAAAAATGAGGGGTGGCAGTGAGACAAATAATTATATATTTGTGAGACTTTAATGGCCAGTAAAACCACACTGACATAAAATAAGGTGAACATTTAAAAAAAGGGCAATGGAGAAAGCAAATTTCTTGGGGAGAGGTAAATAAATGATTAACCTCGTCTTGTCTTTGTTCTGTACCTGGGACAATCATCTAGTAGCCTTTTGAAAGGACTGGTTTCTGTTTAGCCCTTAGGGAGTAAAACCTATGACTGTTAGCAAGGAACGGGGTATAATGAGCCGTGTCTAATATCTCATCCTGTCATGGCCATGAATTCAGCTTTCAAGGTTTCTCTTCAGTTCCCTGGCCAAAGTGGGGTCTGTTCATTCAAATGAAAGCTAGGAATTTTATTTTTATTTCTCAGATCCATCTGTGCAGCTCAGGGAGACTGCTATGGCTCCCACCTCCTTGAAAATTGCCATTTTCTCATGTTACTGATCACTGGCACCTTGGTTTAATGCTTTTTCTTTTTCCTTTCTTAAACTGTTTTTAGAGACAGGGTTTTACTTTGTTGCCCAAGCTGGGGTGCAGTGGCCTGATCTTAGCTCACTGCAGCCTCAAACTCCTGGCCTGGAGGGATCCTCCCACCTCCTCCTCCTAAGTAGCTGACACTATAGGCATGCACCACCATGCCAGGCTAAATTTCTTACTTTCTTATAGAGTAGGGGGGTCTCACTATGTTGCCCAGGCTTGGTTCAAACTCCTCTTCCCAGGCAATCTTCTCAGCTTGGCCTCCCAACGTGCTGGGATTACAGGAATGAAACTGGCACTTTGAGTTTACAGAGAAAACATCCCCTCCACATTTCATGTGACACATGTGCATAACAAATGGCAATCAGCAAAACTCTAGTCCTTGGAATTTCAACAATGTTGCAACTGATCTTTGCTTTAGTTCTTTGAATGGGTGGACCTCAACATGACTCACCGTAGACAAGTTGACTCCTGCTCTTCATAGTTGTTATCCATTAGTCTGATTGGTTTTGTACCTCAGATTCCATATAGGTTAGGTGTTCTATCAGAAATGCATATGGATGCAGGTTATTGAAAAGCCACTTCAGGAACACTTAATCAAACAGAGGTTTGTTTTTCTCACATAAGTCTGGTGGTGGCTGGACACGGTGGCGTATGCTTGTAATTCCAGCACATTGGGAGGCCAAGGTGGGTGGATCACTTGAGCTCAAGAGTTCGAGACCAGCTTGGGCAACATGGTGAAACCTCGGCTCTACAGAAAAATACAAAAATTAGTTGGGCCTGGTGATGAATGTCTGTAGTCCCAGCTACCTGAGAGGCTGACATGGAATGATGGCTTTCGATTCTCTTAAACACAGCCTCAAGGTTTCCCTAGCTTTAGGTGTCACATCCACAACTAAAGCAGGCATTACAAAAGAAGATATATCAGCCAAATTTGTCTCCTTTTCTCAAAAAAGCAAAAGCTTTTCTAGAAACTTCCCTGTAAACTTATGTTTAGAACATATTTGCAAAAAAAAAAAAACACAAAAAACAAAGAAGTCATGTGGCCACTGTGGTTTCATGATGCAGAACACATGGATACAGAGAGCAACTGTAGATCAATGGAACAAAATAAAGAGGCCAGAATTAGACCCATACAAATATAGTCAACTGATCATTGACAAAGGAGCAAAGAATCCAATGGAGGAACAATGGTTTTTTCAATAAATGGTGCTGGAATAACTGGATATTCACATGCAAAAAGATAATCTAGACACAGACCTTATATCTTTCACAAAAATTTACTCAAAGTGAATCACAGACCTAAATGCAAAACACAAAACTGTAAAACTTCTGTAAGATAACATAGGAGAAAATCTAGGTGAACTTGTGTTTGGTGAGGACTTTTTGAATACAACGCTAAATGCATGATCCATGAAAAAAACTGAACAGTTGATATTTTTAAATTAGAAACATCTTATCTATAAAAGACATTGTTAAGTGAATGAAAAGACAAGCCACAGTCTGGGAGAAAATATTTGCAAAATACACATCTGATAAAGGGCTGATATTTAAAATATATAAAGAACACTTCTAGATCTGAGCTGACACTGTATCAAAGAAGATATATAGATGGCAAATAAGCATAAGATGCCCAATGCCAATGCCGTATGTAATTAAGAAATTGCAAACTAGGCCGGGCGCGGTGGCTCAAGCCTGTAATCCCAGCACTTTGGGAGGCCGAGGCGGGTGGATCACAAGGTCGAGAGATCGAGACCAACCTGGTCAACATGGTGAAACCCCGTCTCTACTAAAAATACAAAAAAAATTAGCTGGGCATGGTGGCGCGTGCCTGTAATCCCAGCTACTCAGGAGGTTGAGGCAGGAGAATTGCCTGAACCCAGGAGGCGGAGGTTGCGGTGAGCCGAGATCGCGCCATTGCACTCCAGCCTGGGTGACAAGAGCGAGACTCCGTTTCAAAAAAAAAAAAAAAATAGAAATTGCAAACTAAAGCATTGAGATTCTACTACACACCTATTAGAATAGCCAAAATTCAAAACACTGGCAACACAAAATCCTGGCAAGGATGTGGAGTAACAGGAAGTTTCATTCATTGCTGCTGAAAATGTAAACTGTTACAGCCACTTTGGGAGACCATCCGGTAATTTTTGATAAAGCAAAATATAGTCTTACCATATGATCCTGCAATCATGCTCCTTGGGTATTTACCTAAATGAGGTAAAAACTTATGTCTATACAAAAACCTGTACAAGAATGTTTAGAGTAGCCTTATTCATTATTATTAAAGCCTGGAAGCAACCAAGATGTTTTTCAATAAATAAATGGATAAACAAACCATGGTACATCCATACAGCAGAATATTGTGCCCAACAACAACAAAAACAACTATCAAGCCGTGAAAAGACAGAGGAATGTTAAATGTATATTGCTAGGTAAAAAAATAAAAGCAGTATGAAAAGACTACCTACCATATGATTCCAACTCTATGACATTCTGGAAAAGGCAAAATTCTACAGAAAGTAAAAAGATCAGTGATTGCCAGTGGTTGGTTGCAGGTAGACTAGATGAATAGGTGGAATACAAGGAATCTTTTAGTGCAATGTAACTGTTCTGCTGACACTGTAATGGTGGATATGTTACACATTTTTCAAAACCCACAGAGCTGTGCAACACCAAGAGTGAGTAATAATGCGTCAGTTGTAATAAATGTACCATACGAAGGCAAGATGTTAGTAATAGGAGAAACTGTACAGGAGGAGGGGAGATTAGGTAGTACATGCATTATGGCAACAACTTCTTCACTGGTCTCCCTGCAGTCACTGTTGTCCCCTCTCTGACATTTCTCAGCACAAAAGACAGAATGACCCTGTTCAGGTGTCAATCAAGTCACTCTGCCACTCAGAATCCTCCAGTGGCTCCCTATCTGCTTAGTTTTTCCATAAATCTAAAACTGTTCTAAAAAATAAAGCCAACTAATTAATTTTTTTTCTAATATCTCATTCAAATCAGAGGTCACAGTTAAGTGAAATTGTCAGATAAGGTGTCAAGAAAGAAGTGTGACTTTAGCTGGATCCCGAAGAGTACATAAGATTTTTAGAGTTGGAAAGGGCAGAAGGCCTTTCAGCTGGGATTGAAGCATGAAAAAAACTCTAGAGGGCTCAAATTGCGAAGGAGCAGGAAATAGCAGAGAATAAATCAATGCAAAGACAACAGGCAGCAATTTAATGGAAACCAGGGGCCAGGGCAGGGCTAGAAACACTGAAGCATCATTGCAATATCAGATAAATATAGGCATGAGAACTGACTCAACCTTGGCCGGGTCCTCAACACATATCTGTTCATTCATGTAATATTCAGTAAACATTCACTATGTTTCCGACACTGTGGTAGGCACTGGGGACAAGCAGTAAATTAAACAAATGGAAATCTTTGTTCTCACTGAGCTTACGCTCTAGTGAGAGGAGACAGACAGAACCTGCCTGGTATTTTCAAGAAACAACAAAGAAAATATTATAGCTGGAATGAGAAACAATGGTCTTTTCAACAAATGGTGCTGGAATAACTGGCCATTCATATGTAAAAATTATTCTAGATAGAGACCTTATATCTTTCACAAAAAAATTTACTCAAAATGGATTATAGACCTAAATGCAAAGCACAGAATTGTAAAACTTCTGGAAGATAACATAGGAGAAAGTCTCGGGGAACTAGATTTCATTCACTGGAATGAAGTGAAGGGGGAAAGTAGAAGGTGAGATAGAGGAGATAATAGAAGTATATAGAGTATATAGGGCATGGAAGCCAGAATAAATAACGAATCTGGCTTTTACTCTGAGAGATGTAGGGAGTCACTGGGGGATTCTGAGTGGCAGAATGACTTGATTGACACCTGAACAAGGGCATTCTGTCTTCTGTGCTGAGAACTGTCAGAGAGGGGACAATAGTGACTGCAAGGAGACCAGCGAAGAAATTGTTGCCACAGTGCAGGTAAGAGAGGATGGAAGCTTGGACTATGGGTTGTAGCTGAGCAAAGGATGAGAAGCAGATTCTGGAATCTGCAATGATATGCTGATGGATTTGATGTGTGGAAGAAGGTGAAAATGTCTCAGTTTTAGGCTTGAGCAATGAACTAGAAGGCAAGAGTTGTCTGGAGAGAGAGAGAGAGAGAGAGAGAGAGAGAGAGAGAGAGAGAAGGTGAGGGAGAGAAAGGATTTTGGAAGAGCAGGCTCATGATCAGGCCTGAGCCCAGTGTCTGAGTTCAGGTAAGCTATCTTGAAAGGAGAAATATCAAAAGCTAGAGATCAGAGTGAGGCTGAGACTCAGAGTCAAGTGGGCAAGACTAAGTTTCAGTATATACTAGCAATGAGGAAAACTATTTATTTATTCATTCATCGAACATACCTTGAAATCAACCACTTTTAATGTGCCAGGGACACAAGGATAGAAAAGATATTTGCCCTGGCTGGGAGATACTAATAATCCAATAAGGAAAACAAAAATATAAATAAATTATTCTAGTATACTAACCATCAATAGTAGAGGTATTCAACATTTGTTGAGTCCCTGCTACATGCCAAGCAGTGTAATGAGGAGGCAGGAGGTTTGCACAAAGCTCTACAAGAGCACAAGATAAGTTCTGGTAAAGGTTTGTAAAGAAATTCCCAAGGGTTTTCACCACAGTATGACTTCAGGGAGTTGGCAGCAAGCTAGATGCCCCATCAGTAAGGATATGTATGAATAAAATCTATAGCATATTCAGTAGCAAACTAGGTGTACACACAGCAATGTGGGTATAGCTCAAAAACATAGTGTTAAGTAAAACAGTGGGAAATAGAGATTTACAGTCCAACACCACCTCTGTAAATGCAAGAGGTATAAACAAAACATTCTCTGTCTTAAATTATCAAGGATCTATATCAAACATATTGCAGTTAGTGTCTGGAAGAATGAGAGTGGGAATTGAGAAAGATGAGGAAAAAATCATATAAACAATATAAAATAATATAAAACAAGGACCTTGAAGGGACTGATACGACAATGTGCTGAAAACGGAGGAGCAAAGTTAACTCTCTGTACCTGAAATAAAATAACTAGCTAATAGGAATCCAGCTGAAGACCTTAAGGGGCAGGGCCTCTATGGGGCTCAGGAAGGATGTGTAGAGACATGAAAGGATGAAAGTGCATCACAGGTTCAGGATGAGTGTGGCTTGCAATAAAGATAGTTGTGAAGAGTTGATCTATTTTTAAGGCCTGGGTTAATTGAACAACACCTTACACGTGGAGAGGTATAATTATTCTAATCAATGTGTCCCGTTTTACTATAATACATTGGAGGTACAGTTAATGCTCTGCTCCCATTCAATCTATGATGAGATTCTCTTTCAGCCCTATTGAAGTCTTGGTCTCAAGTGACTACTCCAAAGACAGTAGTCCAAAAAGGTCTTTCCTGTTTACTATGGCCTTGAGGAATGTGGCCCTAAATCCATTGCTTTAAAGTTGGCATTCCACCAGCACCAACAGCTTCTCATTCTGGGGCACCTGCCTTTGCCAACTCAGTCATCCTGCCTTTGCCAACTCAGTGCTACAGTTAACTCTCACCTGCCATATTCCAGCTGGAATCATTTCTGATTCTCCACCCCAGACTGGGTCATGTTATGTCATCATGGATGCACCTATTCTTCGTAGCCCTTATCGCAACTGCAACTCTTCATTTTCTTACCAGGATAATTTATGTCCATCTATTTCGCTAGGTTCCAAGTTCAATGATGGTAATCTTGTCTTTTCTCTTTTCTGTTTTACTCACCAATTTCTCGCTAGCACTTAGCACAGTGCCTGGCACATGATACGTGCTCCATAAACTTCTCAGTTGGATACCAGCATCCCTAAGGAAACATGGATCAACACAGCTATAAGCACGGCGCAGAAACAGGAATAAGAAAAAGTTGGGCTTTGTTTTAGAGTAGAAGGTAAAGGGTTGCAAGCAGGTGCATCGGTCCCTGTAGACAGGACCCATGACTGCCAGACACATGCTCACCCCGACACAGGGTGCGCATACAGTAGGGGTAGAAACGAACTTCAAAGACATTAAGAAGTGCTTAACACTATTTTTTAAAGTGTGTCAAGTGAAAGTATGAAAATAAATTGAGGAAAGGCAAGTACGTGGGTCACAGCTGGGTGTGAGGAAAGGTTAACATTTTGAGGTCCTGACTCAATACATTGTCCCTGAAAGGGCCCAGGATGTCTCCACAGGAAAGCCCAAAATCTGGTGAGAGAGGGCGTGACTCTTCACCCTCTGCCTCTATGGGTCTCGAAAGCCAAGGTCACCCTGGTTGCCACTGTTCCTAGTTCAAAGCCTTCTTCAATCTACTCCACCCTTACTCTCACCTTCCACTCCACCTCCCGCTCAATCAGGCTCTGCGCTACATTGAATCAAACCAAACCAGACATGCCCCCGGAATCCTAGCGAGGTCAATGGGATAACCGGATGAAGTTGATTTCACACGACACAGCATGCACCTCTGCAGAAATGAGAGTTCTGACCCTAGCGAGGCGGTGCGACCTGTCGCCGCCCTTCAGCCTTCCCGCCCTCCGCCGAGCCCGCGCACGCCCGGCCCGCGCATCTGACGTTTGATCCGGCACTCTGGCCCGTTCCCAGGAACGCGCATGCGCGCGCTCCCCTGCCACTGGAAGCGAGAGGGCGGGGCCGAGGGGCTGAGCCCGCGGGGGGAGGGAACAGCGTTGATCACGTGACGCAGTTTCAGTGTTTACACGCGCAGCGGGCCGAGGGTTCGGCCTCAGTCAGGCGCTCAGCTCCGTTTCGGTTTCACTTCCGGTGGAGGGCCGCCTCTGAGCGGGCGGCGGGCCGACGGCGAGCGCGGGCGGCGGCGGTGACGGAGGCGCCGCTGCCAGGGGGCGTGCGGCAGCGCAGCGGCGGCGGCGGCGGCGGCGGCGGCGGCGGCGGCGGCGGCGACGGCGGCGGCGGCGGCGGCGGCGGCGGCGGCGGCGGCGGCGGCGGCGGTTGGGCCTCGAGCGCCCGCAGCCCACCTCTCGGGGGCGGGCTCCCGGCGCTAGCAGGGCTGAAGAGAAGATGGAGGAGCTGGTGGTGGAAGTGCGGGGCTCCAATGGCGCTTTCTACAAGGTACTTGGCTCCAGGGCAGGCCCCATCTTCGCCCTTCCTTCCCTCCTTTTTCTTCTTGGCGTTGGCGGGAGGCAGGCCCGGGGCCCTCTACCCCAGCTCCGCGCCTGGGTGCCAGGGCACGCTCGGCGGGATGTTGATTGGGAGGGAAGGACTGGACTTGGGGCCTGTAGGAAGCCCCTCGAGCCCCGCTCCGACTCCGAGAGGCCCTAGCGCCTAACGGGATGAGAGACGAACGAGGACAGGGTTCCCTTTCGGCTCTGAGCCCCGCCGGGGTGAGCTGGGGATGGGCGAGGGCAGGCGGCAGGTACAGGAGCCGGGGCGGGAAGGGCCGAAATCCGCGCTAAGTGACGGAGACGGCTTCTTCCTTCTTTCCTAAATATCTTCTCCCAGCGGGATCCGGGCCCGACGTGTGGGTAGTTGTGGAGGACCGGTGGGCGCTTCAGCCGGGCCGCCTCCTGCAGCGACAAGAGGGTTTCAGGTCTCCTTTGGCTTCTCTTTTCCGGTCCAGCATTGGGACTTCGGAGAGCTCCCCTGCTCTGGGCGAGGGCTGTGAAGAATAGTAAGAAGCGGTAGTCGGCACAAATCACAATGGCAACTGATTTTTAGTGGCTTCTCTTTGTGGATTTCGGAGATTTTATATCCAAAAGTTTCACGAAGACCCTAACATGGCTCAGCAATGCATTGAAGACGTTGATCATCGTGAATATTCTTGCCCCCCCTTTTGTTAAACGGGGTAAATTCAGGAATGCATACGCTTCAGCGTCTAAAACCATTAGCAACTCTGTGACTTAAAAAGTGTATGTTTGTGTGTGTGTGTGTGTGTGTGTGTGTGTGTGTAAGTTTCCAGAGACCTAAATATATGCCATGGAACTTCAGGAAATTAACAGAGAGTATATTACTAGGACATTTTTTAAACTGAGCGAAAATATTTTTGTGCCCTTAAGAACTGACCATATTTCCTTTGAATTTGTGGTGTGGCAGTGGACTGAATTGTTGAGTCTTAGGGATCCATGGGTTTACTGTGCTTTTTAAAGTTACACCATTGCAGATCAACTAACACCTTTCATTTTTAAAAGGAAGATTTACAAATTTGATGTAGCAGGAGTGCGTTTGTTGGTATGTAGTTGCTGTAGATCTATTAATCTATAATTCTCATTTCCTCTTGAATGTCTATAATCTATGTAAATAATATCCCACCTTACTACAGTATTTTGGCAATAGAAGGTGCACGTGGAAGGAAGCATGGAAAATAGCTATTACCATTGTCCAACACCATTCTTAAATTTATTATAGAATGACTTGAATGTTTCAAACATCACAAGTTTGGCTAGGAAAAGAAACAATTTGACTTTAATATATTCTGGGTTTACCAATTGTATGAAGACATTTGGAGATCAGTATATTTCATAAATGAGTAAACTATGTAAACTGTTCCATACTTTGAGCGCAAAGATAAAACCTTTCGCTGTAAAAGGAGGCACAAAGTACCCCCACGTTTATGTTCTTAACAGTCTCACGAATATGCAGTTGTTTCAGTTGACTCTGCAGTCAAAATTTTAATTGCATTGATTTTATTGACCCATAATTTTTTCTGGTGAGTTTGCGTAGAATCGTTCAGGGTCCTAGATTAGTGGGTTTGGTCACTAGATTTCTGCCACTAATAACTCTGTATATACATATATATGTATGAGTAAGGGCTAATGGGTAAGCAGGATTCTGATTGATCTGTGATATCAGCTTAGGTTGGATGCCACTAAAGTTTACTTACCACAGACGACAAGTAGCACATTCTGGCCTTGAAGTACTTACTGTTCTCTTCCAGCCACTTAGGATTTGCTCCAGTGATTTTGCTTCCAAACTGACTGGAATATAAGAAATTTCTTCTGTTTTTCCTATTAATTCCCCCCTTTTGGGGTTTTGTTTTGTAACAAAGCTGTTTAACTTGAAGGTAAATGAAGAATAGATTGGTTGCCCCTTAGTTCCCTGAGGAGAAATGTAATACTTGAACAAGTGTGTGTCAGACAAATTGCTGTTTTATATTTATTTAATTTTGATTTCTAAGAAAATGTCAAATGGTCTGCACTGATGGAAAAATGGTTTCGGTAACAAAAAGCTCAGAGTTTTTTTTATGACTTATAATATTACTGTGAGTTATAAAAGTAAAGCGAAAGTAAACTGAGTTGCTTGTCCAGTGGGATGGACAGGAAAGATGTGAAATAAAAACCAATTATAAATGAACTACTATGGAGAAGTGTTACATTTATGGAAAAATAAATAGGAACCTTGTTCAAATTAATAGAAAAGTTTTAAAAACTAAACAAATCAAACAACTTAGGTATAATTGAATTCAGACTTTGATTTGCTTAACATAACCACCATATTTCCAAGGACAGCTCTCTTTTTCTGGTGTTTCTTCTTAAAAACTTAAGTTAGATTTAGTAATTACCAGAGCCACTACTTTTAAGCTTAGGTATTTGACTTAGAAAAAGTTGGTCCCGTGTACAACTTACAATGCCCTGCGGGTGCTATTTAAGATATGAAGACACTTTGACTTACACCTCATGAAATCTTTACAAACTATTTTCTAAATGAATAGTGATGAAATAAAGCCTTTATTCTAGGGGCATGTGCCCCACATAATTTGTTTTCTTTGGACTAGAAGTTTTGATGCATTGAGAATGGTAATGAATTAACTCCATTTTAAATGTAGAATGCATATCATTCCAATATGAATGCCCTAATAAATCCTAAGATTTGTAGGTTTTTTGAAAATTACTAAAGATGGATACATCGCAAATTGGAGACATAAGAACCCTTTTGTTTCTGAAAATACAGCCTCTGATTTCTGATTCCTTATTGTCATATGGTATAATTGTGCTACATTTTAATTTTGTTGTTAGATTATGCTTCATTTTTTCAGTATTTACAGACAGACTTTAATTTGGTGAGCAGTAGTATGGCAGCTAGCAGCTAAATATGATAAAGTATGTAATCAAAAGAAAATCTTTAATGAAGGTATTAGTGGTCTAACATGTCATTTCAGATGCTAAGTGAAATGTAGTAAAATCAGTTTTACTATAAATAAACTTGTATAAGGTTTATAAGTTTATAAAACAACTTGCATAAAGTGTAAATAAACTTGCAGCATGTTTTCTCTGAAGTTTCTTGAGCTAACTTTGCATAAAGGTGTTACTCTGTACTTCGAGGAAGTGAATTATTTGGGTCAACCACATTTATTCTTTCCTTCCTAGAGCTTAATTATCCTTTTTAGTTTTTAGGAGCTCGTGGCTACATCATTTTCCCCTTTTTCACCTTTGTATTTTCTAACTCCATACCTAAGTATTCTGATAACCTCCAAATTATTAATTAGATGCAGAATTCAGTGGTATATTACTAGAGTTCCTGATTTCTGCCTGCTGTAGGAATGTGCTTCTTGAGAAGATCAGGATCACGATTATAATAATATTTAACAGGGGATGAGTACTTTCTAGGTGCCAGGCACTCTTCTAAGTGCTTTACCTCCAATACTTTATTTGAGGTATTGTTGTTATTCCCATTCTTTAAATGATGCATAGCGAGGTTAGGTAAGTGGCTTACTACCAAGTGTCAGGGCCATTAAGGGTCAGGATTCTGACTTTCTGAAATGATGAAATTTAGCTTGAAGAAATTGGTTTGATTTCCTTCTCAGTTTTCAATTTCATTGTGGTCTTTGATTGTATTTTGTGTTATAATACTGCCTTAGCATCCTATAACTATAGTTACAAGGTTATATTACTATGTTTTACTGTTAATAGAAAGCTGTCATGAAATAATTTAGTTTATGTGCCAGCCTTTTCGTTGTTACCTCTTGACCCTTGACACTGTACTTCTTCATATGGATCCCTATTAAGGAACGATAAGGTTGGAAATCTTTGACCCAGCTAGGAAATTTGCCTTGTTATATTGGGAGCTCATAAAACTGAAGTATTCAAAAATTAGAATACATACACACAAGGAAAATTAATAACTAATACTGTTTTCTTTGCACATGTCTCTGTTGTCTTTTGGTCAGGGTGAAGCAGAATGTGTTTTTCTCATAATTTGTGGCAAATGCCTATATGAAGTCCTGGATATGTGGTATGGTTGGAAGGACTGTTGATGAGGTTTATCGTCTGTGTTTGTTCTTTTATGTTGTTAGTGTCCCCATAAAAGGGGGACAAAATGATAACTTACTTTATATATGAAGGCTTTGGTTTGAATCATACTTTTATCACATGTTCTATGTCCCTGTCCTCTCTATCTCCTGCAGGTTTGGTTTGGTTTTGTTTCGCTTTCTGTCTTTCTGTCTTTGACCTTCCTCCCCTCCCCTCCTCTGCCCTCCCTCTTTTCTTTTCTTTTCTTTTCCTGTCTGTCTTTTTTCTCTTTTCTTTTCTTCTTTCTTTTTTATTTTTTAATAGAGTCTCACTCTGTTGCCCCAGGCTGGAATGCAGTGGTGGGATCTCAGCTCACTGCACCCTCGGCCTCTTGGGTTCAAGCCAGTCTTGTGCTTCAGCCTTCTAGGTAGCTGAGATTA